ACACGCACACGCACACGCACGCACGCACACACACACACACACACACTCACACAGAGAGACTTAGGTCTCCGGTGGACGCAGTGGATTGATCAATGCTGATATGTGTTGACAAGTTCTAATCTGAAAAATTGAATGGAATTAATGAATATGCAAATTCATACTTTATAATAAAAATGTCCTTGAACGAAGGAAGAGGGCATGAGAGAAAAGTCAGAGGAGAAAAAGTGGAGAAAAGATAGAGAGAGGGGAAAAAACTAAATTCTAAACAGAAATTCAAACATATTAGCCTGAAGAGATACCGTACGTGATGAAATGTCCCAGCTGTAGAACATAAATGGAAAGAATTGTAGAAGAAGGATGGTAAGTAAAATGAGCAGAGATGCCAAGAAGCTTTTAACATCCAAATCAGCTAGGGGACATGGTGTCTGAAGCACTTTGTGGGGCGCGGGGATGGACGGAAGGAAGCACTCGTCTGGAACAGACCCAAGCATGGTGGGAGACTGATGAAGTCAAACTTTTCAAGCAATAATGATTGTTTGTTATTACAGTTTTTTACAGACGTTAGGACCCATTCCTCAATACTTAGGTCACATTTGCAAAACTCTACATGCAGTGTGCACAACAGACATCTATGTGGGCCAAACTGAGGATCAGTTATCATTGCTTTGGCACAAAATGCATCGAGTGACTACATCTCTCAAATGTCATGAAGTCCCTTCTCACTCAGACACAACAACTGCCAAAACTCATTGTACTAGCAGGACATGCTGCACTTGCTTACATACTGTTCACAACACTGTAAAACTTCTGTTCAAAACAATAACAAACTGCAAAACTGAACATGACAGCAACATCCAACAGCGATGTGTTATTGAAACATAGATGCAGTTTAACCAGCCACAGCTGACTCTAACTGTAGATGAACAGCTGCTCAGGTGTTACACTTTCACCGTCATTATAAAAGTAGTCAACTGCTGGATAGGTTTGTGTTGTGATGTAAACATGGAGCCAGCCAGAAATGGAGAAGTGGCTGAAAGAGGAAGAATAGAGGCTGGGAGAGGGCGGGGAGTACGTATGCGTGGTGGTCGGAGGGACCGGTGGCGCCTGTGCTCGGCAGCCTCGCCTCTGTCAGTGCGCCCCAGGGCAGCTGGAGCTACATCGTAGCTCATCACCACCAGTGTGTGAATGTGTGTGTGAATGGATGAATGATAACCTGTAGTGTAAAGTGCTTTGGAGTCCTTACTCTGAGAGGCGCTATACGAGTGCGGATCATTTATCATTTGCAGGCGAATCTGCAAAAACTAGAATATGGTGCAAATTTATTTCAGTAACTCAGCTAAAAATGGGGAAACTAATATATGATAGACTCATTATATACAAATACAGATATTTCAGCCTTTATTTGCTATAATTGTGATGATTTTGGCTTTCAAATCTATAAAAACGGAATATTCTGTATTATCAAAGTGTCACACTTTAATCAGCTAATGAATCCCAAACACTGGCGTATTGTGAAAACATGTACATTTACAGACATGTTTATTAATCTGCATTGTCCCCATCTAGCGATGTGCCATTCACAAATGAATCAAATCTTTTTATCGATGAGGGCCGAGTCCCTGCAGAGAGCCGCTCATCTTGCCTTCCAGTAACGAAGCCCCTCGCTCTTTGAGGTAAACGACCAACCAATGAAAGGCCCTTCAAAGAGCCATACGTCCCATCGCTGTCCCTGTCCCAAACAAACTAGTAAAATTAAGTCAGATCATTGACTGATGTAAGGGCTTAGTGCATTTGTTTTGTGCTCAAACACCAGAAATATTAGAAAATTAAAAGGTAATATAAGGGCTACATTTTTGGAGATTCTTCTGTAAAATATGCCACCAAACTGCTTTAGACAAAAATATGTACAGATCAAACTAATCATTAAAGGAAACATGAGCAAATAAATCAAGTAATACATTAGGATATAGTAAGAGTTAAAAGTCAGGTCATGAAAGTACATTTTCAGCCTCATTTTAAAAATGACCACAGATGATGACTGCCTAAAGGTTGGTTTATGCTTGACGCGTCTGCGAGGTCCGCACGGCTCCGCGCGGAAAAGTTGCGTCATTTTGCGTCATTTTAACAACCACGCCCCTCCACCGCGTCTCCGCACGGCCCAAAATTTCCGCAACGCGCACCTCGGAAAATTTCTAACCACGTGGACGGACGGACGTGGAAAAACATGGCGGACCAGCAAGAACTAGTATGGCAGAGGTTCGTAAATACAGACATTTGTATGATTCAGCTCTCAGAGATCATCGTGATCAACATGTAGTTAATAATTCTTGGAGAGAAAAAGCTCGCACTGTCGGAAAAGACGAGGACGCTGTTAAAAATGCTGGAATGCCATGTTGTAAACAACAGTAATTTTTACTTCTACTATGGTGTAGTGTTGGATGCATGCCGTTAAGCTCCATGCTGCCCCCTACAGTTTGGGAGAATATTGGCTCACCGCAGA